AGAATGGTACTTGGTTGGATGAAGCAGTAACAGCATCTGTCTTCATAGCTTCATCCAAATGATGAGATTATGAGTGAGCATCAAGTCCAAGACTGTTCCCACCAGATGTTTAGCTCTTTAGAGTATTAACCAAGCACCAGTCCCACCAATATTGCTGAAGTAGAAAGAACCCTAGACAGACACTCAGAAGGCCTGGCTCTCTGATTTTAAGTCTTTTGACTATACTTACTCCTCAATTATTGACTATCTAGTTACATGACATTTTGCATTTACAACAATAGTAAAAACCTACTATTTTGCACATTAATGGCATACATCTAGCAGTAACAAATACCAAAGTATTAGGCGAGAGTAATGTTGGCTGTGATGATTAAGGTTATGTTTCAACTTGGCTGAGCCATGATTCTCAGTGGTTTGGCAGTTACATAATGATGTAATCATTCTCCATTTTGTGATCTGATGTGGTCATACTCCATTTTCACATAATGATGATTTTGACATAACAACCTCATCTTTGGAAACTATGTCGGTAAGTGAGGAGTGAGTATATAGGCAAATCACTTATCCTTTTTCAACCTTAGTCTTACATTCTTCATAATGGGACCACACATCCACCCTGCTTATATCACATAGGTTGTTATGAGGATAAGACAATGCATGGGAAAGAGATCTATAAACAGTAATACACCATAAAAATAATACAAATGTTATTAACCTTCCTCTTTCTCAGGCAGTACTCAAATTCAGGCTGCTCAATATTATCCTTGCTTCCCTCTGATGTTAAAAGCCCTTATTTTGAGCTTCATTGATCAGCTTTCCAGGTGACTAGGAGGTAGGATACTGGCAGAAAACAAAAACAAAAAAAACTAGGCACTTTTTTCTTCTGTGATTTTAAGTACTTGGGCCCCTGTCTTAGTGACTTTGGATTTCAACACCTTATAAACCAATTTCGAACTCCTTCAAGATTCTGGGAGTGTTCAAATCTGATTTTGGAAGAATATGTAGTGCAGATTTTAGAGTATCATTATAGATTTTATTACTCTTGCCTACCCCTCTTTGGCTCTTAAGGTGGAAGTGGGTGTTGACTAGCCTGGCTAATAATTTGAATGCCTAATAATAATAATAATAAAAATCAGTTATTTTGCCATTTCCCTAATGCCATTTTCTATTTGTGATCTAGCTTTCATTCAGAATAGAATCAAGGGAATGAGAAAATTACCTGTAATTCTTATTGTCTAATCTTATTTTCACAACAGATCACTAATGTGGGGCTGGAAATATCTACAACAAGCTCCTGGGTAATGTTCCTAACCGTCCTTTCTGTCTTACATAGTTCTCCTACCACTGGACTCTAGTGAGCCACTCACCAGTGTCACAGTCAGACTGCTGGGTGCCTTACCACTGCCAGCGCCAAGGGAATGAGGTGGGCCTCACCAGGACATTTGAAGAAAAACATGCCAAAGCCCAAGACCAGCTGTTTGGACCACACCAGAGGTGTAATCGGTGTAGCATTTTCCAGATGCATCCGATTATGGGACAAATCCTGGCCCCAGACCCACCCAACCAATCTCCAAGGCAGGGCCAACAACAGCCATCAACTAATTTCTATGATTAGACAATTTTGGGAAACAACTGAGCTAGCAGAAAAGATCTACAGGTTGGGAGTCCAAACACCTAATTCAGTTGTGACTTCACTAATGACAGTGATGGTTTTCCATCTATCTAGCTATATATAAATTGTATTATAATATCTGTGACTTCAGCCTCTTTCTAAGGCTGCGTAAGGTCTAAGTAATTACCTATATGAAGTTGTTGCAGACTATTTAGAAATATTTACAGCTGTGGCTAGGTATGCTCAGCATGGAGTGAATCAAGTTTGAGTGGCAATGCCTTTCCATCCCCAGTGTGCACAGTCCTGTACTGGTCATAGAGCGATGCTAATGAGAGGGGAGATAACAGAGAGGTCCGTCATCTCCATCATCATTCCACCACTGCCCTATATCAGTGAAGGGGGACACCAACACTCAAAAGCTGCAGAACTGAGCCCCTGGAACAGATGCAGAGCTAACTCCCTGGTGAGCATGCTTGGATGGAACAGCTACACATACCACCAGGTCCATGGACAATGTTGCCAGCTTCCTAATGAGTCTGCTCACAGCCTAAAGCAGCAGCTCATCTACCAGGGGACACCTCCTGCCACCCACATCCAGCCTTCCTCCTCCAGCATGTCCCTGACTCAGCTGTGACTCACAAGCAAACAGAGCAGTTCATGCATCGTCCCTCAGGGCCTTCTGCCTCTTGCCCTCCACATCCTCATTCATCTCTTTTTAGATTTTCAAATATTGACTTTTCAGATTGGTGAGCAATCTCTAAATGTGATGGATGGACACACGCACCACTTTAGGTATCAAAATATTCTCATTTAAATAAATTTTAAAAATCCTTAATTCTCTGGGTTTATTGTAATTTAACCATAGCACTGTTTCATATGATATGTATAAGATCTCCTAACTCTTTCTTGGGCATGTCTTATTTCCCCTATTAAATTGTAGGATCTCAGTGGGTAATGACCATGTCTTAAACAACTTATTTTATCCCCCAACATAACCTACAAAAGAAGCTAACGTGTGTATGTGCTTCCTATTCAGGACACACTATTTAAGGGACAGGAAACAAGGGACATGTAGAGAAAAGGTAGGGATACCAATGATGGCCAGCTTTGCCTTTACTTTTCTATTCAACCTCATCTCCTGTCCAACTTCCCAGAAATGACTATTTTCTCTCTCCATGGGAGGCCAGAAATCTGAGTGATTTAGGTATGCAGCCCTATAGAGGACAACCTGATCCTAACTGCCGCCCCTACACACACCAGGTTATTCTAGTAGCCTGTTACTGTCTTTTTATTTTTTTATTGTCTGTAGTTTTGTTGTCTTGGAATTGCAGGTTTCTAATTATAACTCTTTCCCATTGTTCCCCTCAACTTTCACCAAAATCATCATGCCCCTGTATTTTTGGTCTCTGCAGCTGACGCTATGGGGCTCTTTGGTGGTGAGAAGCCAGACACAGTGCTCAATTTAAACAAATAGCTACTGCAGTTCCCAACATTCTCCAAAATTGCCTGAGGAAGTGGAAATACAAAGCTGGTGACTAAGAAATGGTGTTTTTAATAATCTTTTCCATATGCATTGGGGTCCAAACAGACTAGACATAGCCTTTCAGAGGCCAAAGTGACCAGCAAGTCTAAGACTCAGCACCAGGGTTATGGCTTGCATCTTCCAGCCCTTGGGAGTGCCAGCACTGAACTTATTTGTTCTTCTGGGACAGTTCAAAGCCACTAGTGAGTCCTTTGATAGGCCACTCTCACAGCAATGACACCAACTCATCCCTTCTAATCCTTACCCAGGCTCTTCTTTACTTCACTGCACATGTAGGACCTTTTTGGAAATGCCATGAAGTACAATGGATACTAGTGGAATGGCACTCTGAGAATGGTGCCTATGACCAGTCACATGGTTCTAAAGAAGACAAGTATATGCTGAAAAAGAAACCTGCTCCAGAGCTTGTCCATGGATCCACAGATAAGGAATGGACTATTGCTGGGAGTAGAGGATAGCAAGGTCAAGCATCATCCATCCTCCAGTGATTTAACTCAACCATATGTCCATCTTAATAGTGCAGGTGGAAAGCTTCAACAAAAAGTTTGTCAAAGAAAGTGGAGGCTGTGAGATACCCAAGATGGATAGAGTCAGGGATTCAGGGCTGAACAATGAGGCAAGAATGCAAAGTCAGCTTTGTCCTAAAAGAGAAATGAATATATGAGTTTCACAATTTCTCAAGCCTTGAATAGAAATCAACAAATTGGGTTGGGCTCAGCTAGGTGATTCTTCTGTTAGTCTTGGCTGAGCTCACTGCGAACAGCTGAGAGTTGATAAGCTATCCATTAGGGTGAAAAAAGGTAACTGAGATTTTTTTCTCTCCTTATGCAGCAGGATAGGCCAGGCTTATTCACCTGGTGGTGGGTGCACTGTTCCCAACAGCAGCAAGAGAGGACAAGCCCTATGCACAAGAACTTTTCAAATCTCTGCTTATGTTGCATTTGCTATTGTTCTTTTGATCAATTAAAGTCACATGGCCAACTCCAAATTCAAAGGTACAGAAACAGACTCTACTTCTTGATGAGAAGCTCTGAAAGAGTCTGTGACCATTTCTGCAACCTACACAAAGTCCAGAGATATCCAGCTTTGGGATTTAGGCAAACGTGGTGCCTAAGGCATTTGACTGCTAACCAGAGGCTGGCAGTTCAAATCCACCTGCCACTCCTCGGAAGGAAGGTTGGGCAATGTACTTCTGCAGTGATACTGCCCCAGAGACCCAAGGAGGGGTCGCTATGAGTTGGATCCGACTCAACAGCAGTGGGTTAGGGGTGGAGAGTGCTCCCTCCTGAGAAAGCACTATCTTTCACATCCCAAAAGTATCTATAGAGACAACCTGGTCAAGCCAAGAGACGCAAGCTCCAGATCCCTGGTGTCCTGGAGTAGCAGAAGTAGAATGGCAAAAACAACTCGTGGTGAATGAAGCACAAAACCAGAGAAGACTGACTGGTGTTTATGGGAAAAAAATGGCCCACATTCAAAATGAGACCATATGTTATTTTCCTCTTAAATACTTTCTCATTCTTCTCTATCTTGCATTACTGCTTTTTCTTTTTTCTCCCTCTTCTCTTTCATGTGTGTATTTTAAGAATTTATCAAAAGGCACCTGATGACATTCTAATCAGAGTGCGGAGAGAGAGTGGCACCAAGCATGGAAAGTTCAGGATAGGGGACAAAAAGAGGAGAGCCCTTAATGGCTAAGATTCAGATGTTGACATGTACAACAGAAAGAGAAAAAGCAGTTTAGGTTCTCAGAATGGAAAAATAAATACCACTGAGATGGCTTTTCTATACTCTCTTTCATTTTGTCCCAGCCACTCAAGAACTGTCATTTAGAACAACTTATCAAAGTCATTTCTGTGATTGTCCAGGAGATCACTGTCACAACAACAGCCTTCTGATTTTAGTGTAACAACAGTCATTGACTGGGAAGTGATGAGGATAAAAGATATATTTTGCCTTGAAGCTATCCTCTATTATTAGCAGAAGGTCTTCTTCTAATAGTAGCAATAAATTCTTCTGTCTCTAAGCACAGCATAGGAGGTATGGAAAAGCATACTGCAGCCATAGGCAGTCCAAATTGGCAGCCCAGAGCTAACTCCTTTTTGGAACAGAAAAAGGAGTTCTGGTTCAGCTAAGGACAGAGATTGGGCAGGATAAACTCAGTGGGTGAGAAACTCTGTATGTGGGAATATTCTCACACTTAGAATGTTTTCTTGATAAATTTCCCAATCTAGTTTGATGGACACTGAAGTTTGGAATCAGCCTTAAAGGCTGCCACCCATCCCTTGCCAAAGCAGATGATCAGTAAATCTTCCAGTTGTGGCCAGAGACGGTCCCAGGCCTGCTGGCTCTTGGATTTGTGTCTTGTCCCTGTAGTCGTCTTCTGATTTCTAGTCATCCAGAGAGATGTCTTGAAAACAAACATCAGACCACAAGGGACATCCTGGTTGGAAAGTCACTCTGAGGAAGAGCAGAAAGAGCCCAACATTAAACTACAGGCTGGTTAAAGAAAGCAACCTACACAACAGATGGTTCACTGGGCAAACTCTATAATGTGTGCAGAGTCTAGCACACCCCAACTTTTAGGAAATTACATTAGGCTTTTGATTATTGTTAAATAAACTTCAACTGGTCCTGAACCCAATATACATCTGACAGAACTTAGTTCCCTGGCCACAGAATATCTACCCACCCCCTTAGGGAAACTCCAACATTTGCAATTCCACAGGCAGCAAGTGTGGATGGTACACCACAAATCTATCCCACTCAAATCCCTTGAAAGTGCCTTCCTTTTTCACAGTAACTCAGTCCTTTCATTTTTCTATTTAAAGAACAACAAATACCCTCAATTGTTTTGGAGGGGTTAATAATAATGGCAAAACTCTTTTCTGGTCATGTTCCTTCCCTCCATATTACAGTGAGGAAAATGTCTAGCATGGAATCATGGAAGGAAAAAAAAAGCAGGAGAGGCTGGGTAATTGAGGCGGCACAAGTACTTGTGATTGGAGAGTAGCCTCCAAAGCACAGGGGTCAGAGAGATTTTGGTGACCTGCAATAGACATGTGACTGTTTCCCAACATTTCTCTGAGGTCCAAAGCTCACATTTAGGGGCTGAGAGATGGAGTGGGCTGCTCTTAGTATTTGGAAAGTAATGAAGTTTATATAAAGCAGCTTACAAAATAGACAATTAACTTGGCAGGGACTGAAAGATTTCCCTCAAATATATAGGGTACAGCACACAGTTTACACTCAATATTAAGTTGTCAAAGGAGGAAAAAAGTGAGCAGTCTTTTGTAAGTAGCAGTGGCTCCTAACCTCTGAGTTGTGGACTCTTGGGAATGTGATGCAAGTTACAAACTTTTTACCCCAGAGGAGAGTGCACATATAACATGCATAGAATATTTTGCACAGACCTCAGAAGCCCAGCTAAAGGCCTTTGCTGGTGATAGACTCCCCTAATGCCAGGAATAATAAACAGGTTTTAAAGCTGGTCTTTAGTTATCTAATATTCACTGTAAAATCATCCAAACATCTTCTATCTACTGTACGCCTCTTTTTCAACTCTCCAGGGTCTTATGCTGTCTTACTTTACCTAGCCCTGGATATTGTGAGGTTGAAAACAAAACAACCTAACGTCTGTCTGTCCATCGACAAATTCTCCCAAACCACCACGATGCCCCCTGAACCTGCATCTCAAGGCCCCCCTACTCTATTCTCCTTCCCACCTCCTCCCTGCAGGGGACCCCTAGACCCTGGGTGGCGACCCTGCCTGGTGCTTCCCCGCTCAGCCCACTTGGAGGAGGAGCGCCAGACACGGCCTCACAGTTTTCTTGGAGGGCTCCTTTTTCCTCCTTTTCTCCGAGTTGCTGTGGTAGGGCAGGTCGCGGCTGCGGTACGACGGGCCCCGGCTCAGCTCGCGCTCGCTGTAGGGCGGTAGCGCATCGTCGAGCGCGTCGTCCTCCTCGTCGCCCTGCGTTGCTCCTGCAGCCTTGTAGGTGGACGGCGGCGACCAGGCATAGTAGGAGGCGCTGCGCTGGCTGAGCTGCGTGCTCAGCTTAGACGGCGTCTCGAGGCTTCCCCCGCGGCTGGGGCCCTCTGCGCGAGGCTTGCGCTCCAGCACGCTGCTCAGGTACGAGTGGTCGTACTTGGGCGCCACGCTCGGCGTGCGGCTCACCAGGCGCGGCAAGTCCTCGGTCGGCCGCCGGCGCGGGGGGCTGTAGGACCAACCGCGGTCCGCGTCGGTCAGGGGTTCGCGGCTGCGGCTCTTCTTGCCGTAGTATTCCTCCAGGGAGCCGTCTTGGTAGAAGCCCCCGTGAGCCCGGGACTCAGACCGTTCGAAGCGGCTCCCGCCCCGGGCTTCGTGGCTGTTGCTGTCGGGCCTGCGGGGCCGCTGGCCGTAAGAGTCTGCGAAAGCTGCCAGCTCATCCATGGACACGGCCGGGACCCCTGTGGCGAAGTTCTTCCGGGACAACATCTCAGATTTGGAGCGCTGCTGGCTGCAGACAGAGGAGTTATTGGTCAGTCAACCAGTTAATGTATGGCACATCGGCCTGTGCAAAGAAGGAAATTTGAAGCTGGGGTATAAACAGATTCACCTTATTTGAGACCTCGGTTGGAAGACCGCGGACGGATCCACAGCACTGCTCTTTGCTGAATAACCTTGGGTAGGCCCCATAATCTCAGTAAAGTGAGGACAACTGTGACTATTTCATGAGTTTATGCAAAGGATCAAAATCAGGTTGTGTAGATAAAAATACTTTGTGATCTATAGTGTCCTGAAACACACCTAGGGCCTTCTGACCATTATTATACGAACCTTCGTTGACAGACACATGTCTCACTCCAGTCACTCAAAGTCAGCACAGGTGGTGTGACTTGCAATACAATGTGGCCCAAGGGGCCCCTGTCATATTTGGTGACACACAGAAGCATTTTAGTCCTCAAGAGCAAAGGCCAAGTTATCTCTGAGGGCAGCATGCCAGAGGGCCCCCTGCATTTATTTGTTAAGTTCAAGGCCATGTCTATTGCTCTTGCAAGGTATAGGATAGGTGACTGGTGAAAGTGTTCTTCAGTGGGGAAGTCACACAAAACTGGGTGCAAATCTTGGCCTCCCACATTCATTGGCTGTGTGACCTGAATAATTTCCTAGTAAGTTTCAGTTTCCCCAACTTAAAATGGTGATGTAGTGCCTTGTGGGAGCTCTGGTGGCGTGGTGCCTAAGGCATTTGACTGCTAACCAGAAGTATGGTGGTTCAAATCCACCCACCAATCCTTGGGAGGAAGATTGGGCAATCTACTTCCATAGAGAGATACCTCCTTGGGAACCCAAGGAGGGGTCACTGAGGCAGGACCGACTCAATGGTAGTGAGTTGGCTGTCAGTAAAGGCTTGCTTGCATGTTGTGTGTTGCTGACAGACTAGGAAGAACGTCCCAGTGATCTACTTCTGAAAATCAGCCAATGAAAACCCTATGGCTCAGTGTCTGATCCCATTGTGTGTGGGGCTGCCATGAGCTGGGGACCGCCGTGATGGCAGCTAACAATAGTACTTATCTCTTAGAGTTGCTATGAAAATTATAAATGCAACAGCATAAAGTGTTTGGGATTTTACCTTTCATACAAATGTTCAAAAATGATGGAGATGATGAGTGGCTTTTTTTTAAAAGAAAATTTTTGGATAAAATGTATGGGAAGGGAAGGGAAATGTTAACAAGGTTCCTTAAGAGGTCTAGAGCACTCATCCCAAAGGGCCTTGGATGATTAATTCTATACATGTCACAAGTGTACCTTTGCTTAATAAATATGAGAAAAGGGTGTTCAATAACGCACAGAGTGATGTGGCAGGATAACCTAGAATGGGAGAGATGCTATCAGATAATAGCTGGTTGAGCCCTAGGAAGCAGCCTCAGATGATCTACCCTGCCTTCCTGCTCCTGCCCTGCCACTTCTGCATCATGCTTAGCATCAGAACTGCCCCTCCATGGCCGCCTTCACCTGTGCCTGATGCTCTCTCGATCTTCTTTGTTGTATTCCATGGCTGAGGGCCCCCGGCTTGTCCCACTGCTGCCTCCCATGACACCTGACCAGTAGTCAGGATTACTCTCCAAGTCCCCAGATACAGGGAGCTGCTTGCTTCGCATCTGATGGTAAGACTGCCGGAAATTGCTGTCGTCTTCATGCAGGGAGCTGAGTTCCGAGATGGTGTTGTTATCTGCAGGTACAAAACCAGGCAAAGCACATCTTTCGACATGTTAGACAGGATATGAACTCAGTTAAGGCTGAGACCATAGGCTCTAAGACACTCCTTTCCTGAGGGCCTCAATCCTGTCCAGGGTGGGTTCTTAGCTCAGCAGGAACTGGCTCTAGCTAGAGGTCCACATGCTTACAAAGAGAGAAGCTTCCTACATGTTCTGTTCTTGGAATGGGAGAATAATTGTTATTGCTCCACCTAAGGCAGGCTTCCCAGAACTCAGGCTTTCTGCACTAGCCTACTCCTACTATATCATCATCTTTGTTCAAATGTTTGTCTTCTTCCTGTATAATGAGCCATGCTGATCCCAGGCATTTGAGCCTGGGCAAAAAGAGGAAACACAGATCAAAGCATCTTCCCTACTGCTCCCCACTCCCAAGATGGGGCCTTCATAGCCAGTTATGCTCCATGTTTTAGTGATGCCCCATTCTGGCCTCCTTTAGCTTGCTCAGTGCTCTCGACAGAGCAGAGAGTTCACAGGGCCAAAGGGATGTACTCACTTGGTGCCTGTGCTTTCCATCCTGCTCAACCATGCCTCACCCAGGAGCCTGGAATATCCTGCCCAATGGCACCAGCCACTTCCAGGGCCTGTGTAGTCTTTTTTCCCCCTCCCAGGTATGTGTGGCCAGGGGGGCTCACAGCTATTTGGGAATGTGGGAAGAAAAGGGGATAGGCTGCACCTATGGCTTGTGGGTTTCTACTTGTACTCTTACACTAGCCCCAAAATGTAAGAAGTAGGACTGGTTACAACTGTCTCATTTCCTAAGGTGGCCTAAGTAGCTTTTTGCAAAAGCACTTGTGAAAAAGAACTGGAATCTCATTCTGGAAACAAAAAAAGCTACTTACCTGAAATGGATTGAATTGAATTGTACTTAAATAAATTTAGTAAATCTATTTGCAGTGTAACGGAATCCGTGTTTTCTAAAACCCTTTTGTTAGAACTTCAAAATATTATCAGAAGCAATATTTATAAGGCTTAAGGCCTGGCTGTTGAATGAAAGGTAAGCAAAAACAAGATGTGGGAAACACAGATGTATGTCTCAGGTTCTCCTCCCCGCCCATCTCCAACAATCCTTGGAGGAGCAGAAATTTTTTGCTGGTTCTTACCCACAAAGGGGAGGGAGATACTCCCCTCATGGTATAAACATAGCCTCCTAATCCTATTTCATCAGGCCACAGGGTTTATCATGAATGCCATTCAATTTAATAATTGTGATCAGTTGGTTTTGAGTTATAAAAATATGTATTTTTAAAATATAACTTTTCTTCTTTTAAGGAGAATGGACTTGTTTGTGCTTGTTTTAAAGGAAAATAACTCAGATACTATCGATTAATAAAACCTGTAACATTCCCTTTATCATGATACTAGTGAATTCCAATTTCCTGGGAGTCAGAGAGAAGAGAATTTATAGATACACAAAGTGAGATTATTGAAAAATAATGTTGTTGGCTCAGAACTTTCTTTGGACTTTAGGGATACCTGACTTTTTATTTCTCCAGATAGGGAGGGCTATCTCTGTTTCACCATTCATAATGATGGATTGTCCAGAGCTTTGAACTGGTTCTTCCCAGTTAGTTATGGTCAGTGAAATGACACTGGAACAGACCCAAGTTTGTAAAATGTGAGTGTACTAGAACAATCATCAGAACAGGAAAAAGTTACAGGTTGATAGCCTGCTAGAAACTTAATCTCTGTCTTAGAAAACAAGGTGAGTGTGTGCATTGCATAGCAACCAAATCTCTTTACCACCAGATTAGAAACAATGGTGCCCTGCTCAAAGATGGCTGCTGACAGTGCTGCTTTGAATGTGTGTTGCTCTCCATAGTCTGGGCAATAATCCAGTCTCCCACAGCAGACTCCTGAAGGAGCTGACTACACCTCTTCCAAGTCTCTCATTCCAGGGCTTGTTTGTTTTTGTTTTGTTATGTGCCGTCAAGTCGGCCCCGACTCATAGCGACCCTTCCTTGGGTTTCCGAGACAGTATCACTACGGAAGTAGGATTGCCCAACCTTCCTTCCGAGGAGTGGCTGGTGGGTTCCAGGGCTTAGACCTGTAATTTTTCCGTTCTGGTTATTGTTCTAGTACACTCACATTTTAGATATTTGTATCTGTTCCAATTTCTCTGTGTTGGCAATGACTAAACCAGTTTGAAGCCCTGGCCACAACTACTTATAGTACTAAAGCAGCCGTAGCCAATACTTAAATGAGAGGCATAGCTGAGTTCTAATAAAGATTTATTTGCACACAAGAGGTGGATCAGATTTGGCCAGGGAGTCATAGTTTGCTGACCCCTCCTCTAGGACTTTCCATATTAGAAACATCCCAAGAACAACCCCCTACTCATTTGCAATGAGGACCATAAACCCTTTGCCAAAGAGTCAATTCCAACTCCTAATGACCCTATAAGATAGAGGAGAATTGCCCCACAGTGTTTCCAAGGCTGTAAATCTTTATGTGAGCAGACTACCACATCTTTCTTCCACAGAGCATCTGGTGGATTTGAACTACTGACCTTTGAGTGAACAGCACATGCTCAACCACTGCACCACTAGGGCTCCTTCCTAATGAGGATTATATTGGCTAGCAAATTCATGAGACTTTGCCTGAGACTCCAAATTCTTACAGAATCTATTACTCCCCTGCTCACAGCTGAAGCCATGAAGTGAAATCCACTTTATAATGAGACTTGATTCATCCAGACAGAGTTTACTTTGCTTTTCAGGAACAGAACTTCTCAAAGTAAAGTGAACTGCTTCTTCTCTATCTAATTATTGTAATGTCAACCTGCAGGTTATAGGAGATCTGAGTTCCAGTTCTGGTACTGGCTCCTAGTACTCCTACTGGTTACTTTTCCTCTCTGCTTCAGTTTCCTCCACTGCAAGATAAGGGAAGTGGATTCAATAATTTCAGAGTTCCTCGGCTAACATTCTAAAGTTCTATGAGCTGGAAGGTTGTGGTCTCTGAACAGAATTGCTGCTGCAACCATGGGGCCATCCACAGTTTGCTCAAGAACCTCTTGTATAAGACCACAAGTCTGGGAATCAGAAGGGCTAGATTCTAGTCTTGATTCTGTCACTTCATCTCTCTGGGTTTCTGGGTTTCCTAATTTTTACACTACAAAGGTTGACTTAGACCATTTCTAAGGTTCCCCTTGACTCTAAGATCTCATCACTTTATGACCAGCCAGCCTCTGATGACCAATTTAATCAAGGAAGACGGACAGACAGGGTACATCACCTAAACCAGAATCCATCCTTTAGTTTTAACCCTAGTTTTTAACTTTTCCTCCAAGCTGTGAGACTCTCAGAGTCCCTCTGAGTGCTCCTTCACCTTAATCATTATCTCTATCTCTGGCCCCTTACAGGGATCCCATGACAACACCGTTACAATTCACTTGTCAAGTGCAGTGACATCTGCATTCCTGACATTCCAATCTGGAGATGGTCTTTTTATAGTCAGTACCGGTGGGAGGATACAGCAATGGATACAACTCAGACAGGATAGATTTAGAATCGCAAACTGGGTGGAATATGTTGTCCTTAATCTGAATAAAGCTCCTCTAGACTGGGACTGTTTCCCCAACAAGTCCATCAAGTCTCTCATTGGTTCCAAGGTGAGGAGGGTTTAAACAGACACATAGTGACCTCACTTCCAAGCCTATCAGCACCCTCTGATAATTAGCCTTTCCATGTCAGACCTGCTTTGTGCTGCCTTTCATGATAGTTGGTAATTTGGAATCCACCCCAAAACATCAGCTGTGTCAGCTGCAAAGTCTCCAAGAGGTATGGGTGAGTTAAGGATTGGGGCCCTGCCACCTACGTTGTTGTTGTTGTTTGCCGTCGAGTTGACCCCGACTCATAGCGACCCCTCCTTGGGTTTCCGAGGCAGTATCACTACGGAAGTAGGATTGCCCAACCTTCCTTCCTAGGAGTGGCTGGTGGGTTTGAACCGCCAGCCTTCTGGTGAGCAGTCAAGTAAGTGCCTTAGGCACTATGATACCAGAGCCACCTATAGACTTAGCAATTAAACAGGTCTTTTGAAAAGTCCTCTTGCTCTCCACTCAGTCTCTGCTGGGAAGCTCAGAAGAATAATGTGGGCCTTTACTGCATCTAATTCATTTCACAGACTTGCTCTTTCACTTTGATTGAGGCCTCCATGCAACATATTGACAGCTGAATTATTCAATGCTAAGGGCTTCACACTGGAAAGAACTGATACTTAAGCTTCCACATATTAATTCATTGGTTTGAATATATTTTAAAGGAGATAGTAGGGAAAACTCTTTCAACAAAATATTTCAAACCCAAGGAAAATATAACCCCAGCAATATTGACTGCTAGTACAGAGCCATAACAAGCCAAGATGGTACACAATTGCTTTACCTTCATACCAGAAGGATTTTTTTCTTCCTTCTGCATACTCCAAGCCACCAAGCTATTCCTGCTGATTCTGACTCTGAAAGCTCCATGTTGCCTAACTTTGGTAACCCCCATATCTCCTTTAGCTTTTAACTACTGCATGATGTACAGATCACATAAAACTAACAGATGCTCACATCTGCCTCTCATCCTTCTGGCTGGATCGAACTGAGCCAGCTCCTTCTCGACATAGTACAGGACTTTCATGGAATCTCTCTCTTTGTCTGCTTGGATCCGGTAGCCTTTGCGAACTGTTGAGAAAAGAACAAGAAGGTGTGCTGAAAAACAAAGTATTAGATGAATGCCTCCATTCATTTTACAATGTAGGAAATGTACCTCCCAATTATAACAATTTAAAAAAAAAATAATAACCCAGGTATAATATTCTGTATTTATACATATGTGACCGTATCTGAGACCCCTAAAGCAGATGGTGCCATTGGAGTGGAAGACTAGCAGGTCAACAACAAAATTCCATTCTAGTATATTTCCAGTTATTTATTAATTTCTCCTTCCTATTTTTTTATTTCCTATGACTCCACTTGTAGCTCATCTTCTCAAAGCTTTTGAGTTCCACTTGGGGGCGTATACTCACAGTGAAAAAGACCATCTTTTAGATTGAGATACATACCACTGTATATTGGAGGATCATACCTTCACTTGATGGAAGAACATTGATTGTAACCATGAACAGATGCCCCAAAATGAGAGACTTTGACAAAAGAGGCCTGAATGGTTCCATTTGCCTGGGAGATGGTACAACAAATCCCTAACCTGGGTGGTGCATAAGAACTAACATTAGATTATAGACCCAATAGTACAAAGCAAGATGCAAAACAGATGATTTCCAATCATGGTTCCATTTTATTTTGTTAGCATTTTTCTTTTAGAAAAGGATATACCATATTTAGGATATGATTAATTCATCCTGCTGCTATGTGGTCACAATCAAGTGTTATTTTCAATGTTTTTTAAAAAAACAAAACACAAAGCTAAACTACAGCATGAGAGATAATACCATCTCCTACATCCCCACCACTCATAAATCAGGGGCAAAGGCTATTTAAGCCTCATAGCACTTAAATATCAGCTGAGCCCAATCCCAGCCCCCAGGGTGATCGGACTCAGGTAGGTATAATGCACATGAGAGAAAGAGGAAAAAAAAAGAGAGAGAGAGATAGAAGGAAATGAATGGGCTGGGGACAGAACAATAATGATGACAGACAACATTTATTGGGTTATGGAAAATGCGCTAGGTCATGCTAAGTGCTTTACATGGACATTTGCTCTTCACACCTAAGGAAGCTACTGTTACTTGTCACCTTTTATGGTTGAGAAAACTCTGGCTCAGAAGAACTTAATAACTTGTCTAACTTGCCCAGAAATAACTGCCAGTGCTGGGGCTGGAACCAGGGAGTCTAACTGAAGCTTAATTCCATTAGGCCTTTGGATTCTAGGATGAGGGGCAGTAAGGAGAGGTAGAAGGGGAAGATAACAGAGCAAAGCCCAGTGTAGGAAATGATCTCACCCATTTCATGGGTTGTATGGTCTGCTGTGTAGTCCCTAGGGGTGCACACAGCTTGGCTGCTAACCAAAGGGTTGGAAGCTAGAGTCCATCCACAGGTGCCTCAAAAGAAAAACCTGGTGATAAACTTTAAAAAAGTCAGGCATTGAAAACCCTATGGAGCACAGTTTTACTGACACATATGAGGTCACCATGAGTTGGAGTTGACTTGACAGCAACTACTGTGGTCTGCTGCATAGTCCTCTCTTCTGGCCTGTTGGCACTGTACAGTGAGATGAAAGGAAGTGACCTAACCCTAACGCTCCCTGTTCCCAAAGTGGGGCAAATACTGTAAAGAAACCTCCATTCTATTCTCTGGTCATGTTATCTTGGCTGTGGACAAATCCCCCTCCCCGCCACCCCCACAAGCTATTTACACTGAAGATTAAAATATAAAATTCCACAGTACTCTAATCACAGCCCAGACATAGAGAAGGACGCCCACACACCCCTTTGCAGGTGCACTAAATTTCTACAGGAGAACATGCTGGGCAAGTCATATTCACCTCAAATTGTAGAATGAATTACAGAAAGAAAAAAAAAAAAAGAATCTCAGCACATGATTTTTAGTGCCACCTTCACCAGAGATTAGATCCATAATCCTTACGTGGAAGCAATTATTAGCAGAAATGATTTTATTTATCAAGCTACACACTATTCCATCACTGCAGAGGCGTTTACAGAGTGGTACAGACAGTTCAATTAAAATGCAATTATCCCACAGAACTGCTATGTTGGTTCTGAGGCAGTTATGTCTGATAGATGAGACACAGCTGGGAACTGGGGAACTGGGCATCTTTGGCATGCTGCTGCTGGTTTGTTGAGGGACTTCCAATAACTAATGACCTACCTAGGACTCCTGAGAAGTGAGGATGGGGAGACCTCTTGTACTTTGGTCATGTTGTCAGGAGTGACTAGTCCCTGGAGAGGAATATCATGCTTGGTAAAGTAGAGGGTCGGCAAAAAAAAAAAAAGGAAGCCCCTCAATGATGGATTGACACAGCAGCCGTAACAGTGGACTTGGCCATTGTGAGGAAGGCAGTGTTTCACTCTGCTGTACATAGCGTCACTGTGAGTTGGGACTTTTTTTTTTTTTTTTCTTCAAATTTTCTTCAAGATTTATTTGCTTAGTCAGGGAAGAGAAATTCTTCTATATTCAGTTCATCCTATTAGTTTGTACTTTCCATTCATCTGGAAACAAACTTGAAGCTGAAAACACTCTCTCGGGCAGAAGCAAAGGACAGCTTTCCCAAGGTCATGGTACAAAACCTTACACCTATCCTGTAGAGCGCAAGCCCTCGAGATCACTGGACTGTGTTTAAATGATTATTTTTCAAATTTTATTGTGACTTGGGTGAAAGTTTACTGAGCAAATTCATTTTCCATACAGCAGTTCATACATATTTTGTTTCATGACATCGACTGTAATTTCCCACAATGTACCAGCTCTCTTCCCACTTCCTCCCTGTAGTTACCTCTTCCCTGTGTCCTTCCCTCTCATGCACTCCCGCCCCCCTAAGCTGTCTCCCTGTACAAACACTGCCCTTCTATTCTCCCATGACTGATCGCTCCAAGCAGTGTTTCAATCAATGTAAATGTGCACCCATGTGCCTATTTATTGTTTGGCTGGAAGCCACAGGAGTGAGTTCAGTTCCAGACCTGAAGGGTAACTAGAGACCATAGTCTCAGGGGTCTCACCAGGCTCTGTCAGACCAGAAAACCTGGTGGTTTATTTAATTTTTTAAATTATTTTGAGTTTTGTTCCACATCGTTCTCCCATTCTATCCAGGATCTCTTGCACCAATCCCCCTCCGAGGGGTTGAAGTGGTAGGCAGGCACCATCTAATTCTTCTAGTCTCATGGTCATATAGGCTGAGGACTGCATGGTCTACCAGTCCCTTTGACTAATTGTTTCCATTCATCTTTGGCTTTTTTTATTCTTCTTTGCTCTGGATGAGGAGAGACCCATCATTGCATCTAGATGGCCACTTGCAAGCTTTTAAGAGCCCAGTCGCTACTCACCAAAGTTGAATGCAGAACAATGTTTTTGTGTAGTATGTTATGCCAATTGAACTTGATGTCTCCTATGACTATGGTCCTGAGCCTGCAGGCTGAGTTGAAACTGACTTGACAGCACCTAGCAACAACATCTAGGACCTGGTTTTTATGTCTATAAAATGCAACTAATACTGTCCACCCTTTAATCTCTTAAAGAAGCAAGGACAACAAAGACCAAATCAGTGGAGGACTTTTGAGTTCTTTGCTAATTGTATGTTGTTGTTTGCCGTTGAGTCAGACCCAACTCATAGCGACCCCTCCTTGGGTTTCCGAGGCAGTATCTCTACGGAAGTAGGATTGCCCAACCTTTCTTCCGAGGAGTGGTGGGTGGGTTTGAACCGCCAGCCTTCTGGTTAGCAGTCAAGTACCTTAGGCACTATGCTACCAGAGCTCCTAATTGTACGGTGCAGCTCAAATGCCACCTCAACCATAAGGGTTTCTTTGATTCTCATAGCTAGAAAAGTGGTCTCACTTTCTCCCCTTCCTTCTTTCTTTCTCCCCTAATTTACAAGTCATTTGGTTTGTGATTTTATTGTAGTTTTTAAATGTATTCTAGTTTGTTTCAAGTTATTTGTATAAATGTCTATCTTCCTTATTAAAGATTGAGGGGAAAAAACGCCCTTAATCGATCTGGATCTCCCATGTACACTCCCTAAGGCAGTGCTTTTAATACAGCAGGCACTTACTAAATGTTCACTGAATTGAATTTCTCCTAGCCTGAGGGTAAGGCCAGCAGTTTCTCTGGGAAGAGCATTTACAGTAGAGTTTCCCTCTCTAGACTGTAAATTTCCTAAGGACCTTCTCTGTTCCCCTCCCTGTCTCCAGCACCTAGCAGAGTGCCTGACACATCACAGACATTCAATAAATGTGTGTTTATATGACTGAACGAATGAAGAAAAACCATGAATAGAAACTATATTACAAAGGATTACAAAGTACGGCAAATGAGGCCATGGGGTGGTTTGTCGGGGAATTTAGGTCAGGAAAATGAAGACTTGAAGGAGCAGCAAGATCTAGAAATTTTGCAATTGTTATTATTGATAATGATTTTTAAGTTAAGAAAATAACTATGTTTGTAGGCAGTAGGCACCTATGGCTTTATCTAGGTGTTCTTACTATGTGAAGCACTGTTATAGTAATAAACATTTAGTAATACTGAGATAAAGGTGTTTTTTTTTTTTGGGGGGGGGGGACCTGATGCTATATGGAACAATGTACCAGCTGTACCCTGTTGGTGAGAGATGGCAGATATTGGGAGCAACAGCTAGAGGCCCCTTGGTTAACTCCAACTTAGATTGGAGATTAGATTGTTTTCTGTTCATTTTAACAAATTACACCCCTCATTATGACACAGATTTGATTACATATGCATACGTTATCATATCCTCAAAATGTTACAGTAACTATTTACAGCCTCAGATAAAGACAGTAGTTTTGCTTTTCAATACTGGCATTATAAAGAGATTTGACTCTACCACTTTCAGCTGTAACTTTTCTGTCACACCAGGCCATAACTTCAGAAACCTAAATTTCTCCTATATGTTAGCTAGACAAGGACCTCTGGTGGTGCAGTGCCTAAGGCATTTGACTGCTAACCGGAAGGTTGGAGGTTCAAACTCACCAGCCACA